CGGAGAGCTTGTGCATCTGAAAAACAACAGACTTGCTGACTGGATCACCAGATGAAAACAGAAGAAGTAATGTCTAAAAAAGGAAACTAAGACAGCCATCACATCTAAGAGGCTGCAATATAATAAATGTTTGCTTTTGGGTTTAATGCTGCTTTAAGCCTTTACAACCACTAAAGCTCAGCTCAAGCAAAGATTATCATTTTAAATTTCAAAGGCTTAGAAGTATCCAGAATTTTTGGTTTTGTGTCGCAATTGTGAAGATTCTCACTCCTGTCCCAGTGACACTCTGACACAAAGATTGGTGACAAAGTGAAAATCTCCCCAACAGGAACACACAAACACAGTATTCAAAACCTGGGCAACGTGAGGGAAAGCAGGCACTCAATCTTCTGCCAAAGGGTCTTTCAGAAAAGCGTATGTATGTGAAATACTAATCAATGCTGAACAGAAGTTTTAACTTCACTTTTTGTCTTGGATGCTTTTTTCTTTTGTTTATTACAGATTGATTACAGCTTGAAAAAACAGTGCTCACTTGTCCTTTTATTGCCTGGATGACAGTTGTCATTCAATGAGGGGTGTGGCCAGGGATTAAGATGCAGAACCAGAAACACTGACTCAGTGCTTCATGTTGTAGCAGGTAAAAGATTATTAATCCTTTGCATGATATGATATGTAGCGTCCCTCCAGATAGCCAGGGGGAGCTAGTTGGTTTTTTTTTTTAGTTAGGAAGACTGAGTAGCTGCCTGGGCATGAGACAGTGGGTCAAATTTGGGTCAGGAATGAGAGTCAGTTCCTTGATACCTCCCCTGCTCTAGAAACTTGGAGAAGATTCTAGAAGCAGGGGTGAGGAGGGGCTGGCCTGCACACTTAGAGAACTCTGGCCAGTCCCCAGGCAGGAGGCTTGGTATGGGGCCAGGGCAGGCTTTAAGTGTGACAGAGCATGCTCAGCAGCAGGAGAGTTTGGGGTGGAATATGAAGTGAGAGGCTGAAATGCAGGAGCCTGGGAGGGGGCCCAGTGGTAAGAGGCCTACCTCCAGAAAGAGTTGCTGGAAGGAAGAATCACTCATCCTCAGGAGTGACCTGAGAGAGGACCACCTGTGTGGTAGGGAAGGAACCTGTCCAGCAGAAGGCTCGAAGGCGGCCACCAACCCAACAAGTACACAGGAGAGGAAGAGAGGGTACTCTTGCACCCCCTGGGCCCCCATCTGGGACTGTTTGATCTAAAGTGACAGATTCTGGATTCCCTTGCTCAGGGATTCACCCAGTACAGCTGGATGAGGAGAGGTGAAGGGGTGTATAGGATGCCCAAGGAAACTGCAACTGAGGACAACTCCTTAGCAACTATATACAGCAAATCTCTTCTTGGAGAGCTACTCCAAGTCCACTGAGAGCATGGTTCAGAGGAAAGGCTGGAAACAGTTTTGGACTCCAGCCTTTCCTGGTGTACCACACCCCAGATGACTAGGGTCTGGGGTACACCAGGAAAGGCTGTAGAGCTCTCCAAGAAGAGATTTGCTGTATATAGTTGCTAAGGAGCAGGGGCTGACTTACAACTCATGGGGCCTCCGGGCAATAGGAAATCATGGGGCCCCTGTGTCCTTGCCCACACTCAAACCACACCCAAAAAAGCCTATGAAAGGTAACAGGGGCATCTCATGAGGCGGCCTACTGACCTCGGGCAGTGCCCGGGTGCCCGAATGGTCAGTCCGCCCCTGTTAAGGATCTGTCTTCAGTTGCAGTTTCCTTGGGCATCCTATACACCCGTTCTAGGTTCAATATCCCGAATACAACTTAATAACCAAGCTCAAAGACTGTTTACTGTCTCCAGAATGCAAGTCTGTGAAAAATGCATGTTGCCTGGCTGTGCAGGACTATAGGGGGGACCCAAAACTTCAGCAATTCTTAAGGGAGTAGTGCTACAGATAATAAAAAAACTGGCAGCATATCTTTTCTAAACAGAGCAATGAAACCTCGGATGTTCATAGCCTGCTACACTAGGCTTAAAAAGGGTTTTATTTATGCTGCTGATGCCTCTGATGAAGGAATCTCACCTTACAATGTATCCTGGGGACAGGATGTAAGAAACAAATCTCCCCAGGGGACACAGACAGTAAAAACAACTGAAGAGTATAGAGTCACAAGTGAGGATTAGATCCCTCAAATGTGCCAGGTGCTTTTAAATCTTCAAAAACATATTCTTGTTTCACAAAGCCCAGTATATTTTTGGGGTCAGCTCTGGAAACAGGCACTGCCCCTCCTAACAGAGCAAATAGCTTGAGATGCTGTATTCACACTCATTTGTACAACATGTTTTAGCACTTCTAGAGCCTAAAGGGAGTAACTTATGACACCTACACCATTATGTGTCAGTCTGCACCTTCAAGTATTCTGTCTCAGCAATAAAAACCTGCAGAAGAACTAACACCCAATTCAATTCTAAGCCTTCAATTCTAGAAATAGATATGCAATCAGTTATACATTGTACTACCAATTTCCATTTCCAGCATCCTACCTCCACTTTCCTGTTTTGCTAGGTGTTTAAAGTGACACTTTACTCTGTCATTCAACATTGACTATTTTTATTCCTTATGCTGCTAGCATTAGTAAATATATAGGAATGTGTATCAGATATACAGTATCTCACAGAAGTAAGTAATTTAATAAATAATCATAAAAAAAATAATATAATAATAATAAAAATTTAATTCAATAATATAATCAAACCAAAAACACTGAAATTTGAAATACAGAGGCAAATTCGCACATCACTGAGCAAAGTCGCAAAATCGTTTTCAGTGTCTGATGACGAATTTCCCCACAAATCATCACTCAATTCTGCAAGTAGTTCTGATTTACTATCGCTGTTCTCTAGCTGGTCTAAAACCGCTTTTGACGTAAAGGGACGCATTTTGGATGCCATGGACTTTTCTAATTTTCCAGGCAGAAAGAACAGTCAAAATGCAGGCAGGGCACAGGACAAAGCAGTAGGGACAAAATGTATGTGAAATGCATTGAAACAGCAATGTTTTACTATGTAATAATCATTTTTTAAAAAAATGACGTTTTTTAAAAATTTTAAATTTGCCGCCGGTTCCGGTGCCCGTACGTCCTGACGTCACAGGGACCGGAACACGGAAGCCAGATGCCGGCATCGGCCGGAGGAGATGGCCAGGGACGCTGCAGGGGACGCATCGCAGGAGCGAAGGACAAGGTAAGTGCTGCAGGGAATCCCTGAGCAACGCCGCATGGTAAGCCCGAGTGTAGCTTAGGGTTACCGCTCTTGGTACTCAAATTTTACCCCGAGCTGCACTTGAGAATACCGCTAAGGAGGTTAAGTTGCTCCCAATGTTAATGCATTTGATCACACCCACAATTTGGTGCGGCACACTGCCCATGCCACTTTATTTCTCCAAACAATCTTTTCTTGGGAGATGTGAAAGAAAATTGGTTATTTATATTAGTATTACTCAGGGCTTTTTTCTTTCAATGACTGAACAAATGCAACATAAAATTAAAAGTATAGAAGGAAGCAACATGTTTTCTTAATTTCTTTTATTTGTGAGCAGATGTGTTACAAGATATTCCAACTTTATAGTTTTTCTTTTTATATTCTTCCAGGCTTTTGCAGCAATGCACATTATCTCCTGTTATCACTTGATTTTTTTATACATTTGTGGCCTGTCTTTGATATTTTGAGGAGACATCAATGTGGTTATGGCAGCTGGAATTTCTTCTGGACCTACAGAACAGAAGATCAGACAAATTAAAATACAGTCTTGTACTATGGGTTGCCTGTCAGCTGTATTTAGATGGAGCAAAATGACCATGACCTTGATCGAATATTGGGTCAACTTTAGAGAAATGGTAGAATGGGTGCCCAAAGAATCAATATTACAGGGCTATTTTTATTATAAGATGCGAGGATACTCAGAATTCCAGAAGAAGCTCATGTGACTCACGTGCAGGGGCGGACTGACCACTTGGAAACCCGGGCACTTCCCGAGGGCCCGGGGGCAGTAGGGGGCCCATGAGATGCCCCTGGTACCTTTTTCATAGGCTTTTTTGAGTTTGGGCAAGGACACAGGGGCCCCATGATCCCCTATTGTACGGGGGCCCCATGAGTTGTCAGTCCGCCCCTGCTCACGTGACATCACAGCGCCATGATGCCCGCGTCCCCGGCATCCCGGTCCCACCATCTGACCACCATGCACCACACACTGGACCACCAGGCAGACCCTTCACCCCCGGATGACCACACCGCATACCTCCGCACCTCATACTTAGCAGCAGGAAGAGACCACAACAGATGACAGCGCATGGTTACGTGAGCGGACTCTGTTCCTGTACCTAGGCACCAATACACTGGGGAACTCCCATCTACTGCAAAAGGCTCGGCTGAGCCATAGTAACTTGATGTCCTTGCTCTTAATGCTGGCAGATGGCGGTTCATCACTACTTTATTCTCTAGCTCACCCACCACTGTCGGTATCCACTTCAATACCTACTCTACCTGCCTTGCATTTATACTGGCACCACAGCCATCATCTACTCTTTGAAGATATTATAGTGGACTGTCCTTCACGGGAAACATATGGTTCTGCCATCTAATTTCATGATCTCACACAGGATCAAAGGATCGACCTGCATGGTCTAATGCATTACTATTGACTGCCTCTCCTTGTTATACCAGTGCATTGATCTGGTTGTGTCACATATACTCTCTAATTGAGGGCTATTCCACTCTTTATATGAGAGCTACGTATTATGTCATCACTCTATGAAGCATTGTCTATACATGGGAAGTTTGAGGACTGCCTGATATGTTATACTTGGATCGACTCTACTCATATATCTCCTTTTTGAGGACTGATTGAGTTTGCTCCAGCATTCATCAGTTTGATCCTGCCATTAATTTGTACACTGTCTCTTTGATTCCCATTATATTCCGGTTGTCCGTTTGTTCATCATCTGATACCACATAACCCCAGGGGTTTCATGGTGTCCAGGGGCGGACTGACCATTTGGAAATTCGGGCACTGCCCGAGGGCCCGGGGTCAGTAGGGGGCCCCATGAGATGCCCCTGGTACCTTTTTCATAGGCTTTTTTGCGTTTGGGCAAGGACACAGGGGCCCCATGATCCCCTATTGCCCGGGGGCCCCATGAGTTGTCAGTCCGCCCCTGATGGTGTCTTATCTCATTGGCCAATCGAGTGTGCAGTGCTTGTGTGTGTGTGTGTGATGTGGACCGGGATCCCGGGGCGGGTGTTTTATTGCGTTGTCATGATTTTACAGTGTAGGGTGGATGGTATTGTTGCTTTTTGTACTTTGTTATGAAAGTGTCAGTAAACATTACGATTTAATCCGCAGTATGTTCTCCGGTGAACTTCTTTCCTAGTGGGTTCTTTACCTACTGGTCAATGTTTCCCACTCAGAATTCCTATAAAAAAGATCTAGATATCATAATAAGGATTGCCAACAAAGGCACCTACTGTAGATTGAGGACAAGCAGTGGGTACATCTGGACTTAGCTTGCTAAATATTAACTCATTTACAAACAAAGGTTGTGCATGACTGCCTATTCCAGTAGGGTATATCTAGAACCAAAATGCTTTTTTTTTTTTTTTTTACTTTTTTTTTTTAACCACCTACCGTCTGTATCAGTATTATGTATATAAACGGCCGGACGGTGGCAGTGCAGGGTCGGGTGGCCGCTTATAAACGGCCTCCCCGCACCCTGCTTGTGCGTGCTCCCTGGGAACGCGCAGCACTGCGATCCGGTGCCCACTGTGTCCTCCGGACACAGTGGAACACCGATCCTTGTACGGGACCTCTGTGCGAGGTCCCGATAATGTGATCACTGATTGGCCAGTCAGTGATCACATGCAGAGTAGTAAGCAAGATGTCACTTCTGACATCATTGCTTACTACGTGTGAAATCTGTGAATGATCACAGAGGTCACATGGTACAAGGCTATTCACAACAGCCTTGTAATATTTGACAAGCTGTGACCAATCACAGCTCACCCAGTAGTTCTCAATGGCTGCAAGAATGCAGCTAGAGAGAAGGAAAAATGATTGCTTTTACAGCCTTTATACAGTGGGGCAAAAAAGTATTTAGTTAGCCACCAATTGTGCAAGTTCTCCCACTTAAAAAGATGAGAGAGGCCTGTAATTGGCATCATAGGTAGACCTCAACTATGAGAGACAAAATGAGAAAAAAAAATCCAGACAATCACATTGGCTGATTTGGAAAGAATTTATTTGCAAATTATGGTGGAAAATAAGTATTTGGTCACCTACAAACAAGCAAGATTTCGGGCTCTCACAGACCTGTACCTTCTTCTTTAAGAGGCTCCCCTGTCTTGCACTCATCACCTGTATCAATGGCACCTGTTTGAACTTGTTATCAGTATAAAAAGACACCTGTCCACAACCTTAAACAGTCTCAAAAATCAACTGTGGGAGCAATAATTAGAAAATGGAAGACATACAAGACCACTGATAATCTCCCTCGATCTGGGGCTCCACGCAAGATCTCACCCTGTGGGGTCAAAATGATAACGGTGAGCAAAAACTCAGGACCACACGGGGGGACCTAGTGAATGACCTGCAGAGAGCTGGGACCAACGTAACAAAGGCTAGCATCAGTAACACACTACGCCGCCAGGGACTCAGATCCTGCAGTGCCAGACGTGTCCCCCTGCTTAAGCCAGTACATGTCCGGGCCCGTCTGAAGTTTGCTAGAGAGCATTTGAATGATCCAGAAAAGGATTGGAAGAATGTCATATGGTCAGATGAAACTAAAATAGAACTGTTTGGTAGAAACATAACTCGTGTTTGGAGGAGAGAGAATGCTGAGTTGCATCCAAAGAACACCATACCTACTGTGAAGCATGTGGGTGGCAACATCATGCTTTGGGGCTGTTTCTCTCCGCAAAGGGACCAGGACAACTGATCCATGTACAGGACAGAATGAATGGGGCCATGTATCGTGAGATTTTGAGTGCAAACCTCCTTCTATCAGCAAGGGCATTGAAGATGAAACGTGGCTGGGTCTTCCAATATGACAATGATCCCAAACATACCGCCCGGGCAACGAAGGAGTGGCTTCGTAAGAAGCATTTCAAGGTCCTGGAGTGGCCTAGCCAGTCTCCAGATCTCAACCCCATAGAAAACCTTTGGAGGGAGTTGAAAGTCCGTGTTGCCCAGCGACAGCCCCAAAACATCACTGCTCTAGAGGAGATCCGCATGGAGGATGGGCCAACATACCAGCAACAATGTGTGCCAACCTTGTGAAGACTTACAGGAAATGTTTGACCTCTGTCATTGCCAACAAAGGATATATAACAAAGTATTGAGATGAACTTTTGATATTGACCAAATACTTATTTTCCACCATAATTTGCAAATAAATTCTTTCCAAATCAGCCAATGTGATTGTCTGGATTTTTTTTCTCATTTTGTCTCTCATAGTTGAGGTCTATCTATGATGCCAATTACAGGCCTCTCTCATCTTTTTAAGTGGGAGAACTTGCACAATTGGTGGCTGACTAAATACTTTTTTGCCCCACTGTAGGTGCAATCAGTGTAAAAAAAAAAAAAACATTTTTCATCACCTCCCACAAGTAGTACAGTGTCACCATGGTGACACTGTACTGCTAGGGTAACAGTATGTAGAAAAAAAAACACATAAATAATAATATAAAAAAATAAAATAAAAATGTAAAAAACAATTTTTTAAATTATAATTTATGTTTATAAACTAATTTGGGGTTTTTTTTTTTTACTAAAAAGATAACGGAATAAATTTTGGCCAAGATTTATGATGAAATATTATTTATTTGCAAATGTTATAAGAAAAACACTTTTTTTCAAAATTTTTGGACTTTTTTATTTACATAGCAAATAAAATTAAAATCTCAGTGGTGAATGAATAAATACCACCAAAATAAAGCTTTATCTGTCTCAAAAAAATTATAAACAAATTCATATGGGTATAGTGTTGCATGACCGCGTAATTGTCATTAAAAGTGTGATAGTGCTGAAAGCTGAAATTTGGCCTGGACAGGAAGGGGGTAAAAGTGTCCGGACTGGAAGTGGTTAAATTTTGGCCTGAATAGGGGATGGGTAAAGCCAAAGTTTATTCTGCCTATATGTTGTCTTCCCTGGTGCCTCTATCACCCCCTCACCAACATAGTAATTTAAAAAAAAAAAAACAATTTATTTTTCATGACTTATTTTAGACCTATTGACATCACTGGTATTTTTGTTTCTCTATGCAATGCAGGCAGATCAGGTCTGGTGAAATGGGCTGTAGGGTGCTGTACATTGCTTCCTGAAAACATCACATCACCCTGCTTCAGTATTCCTTTCAAAAGCTCTTGATGGGTAGATGTCAGTCTGGAGAAGTGGGCATCCCTAAGCAAGCTGCCTTTCCATTCAGAACACCCTATATAAAAAGCCCACATGTAATGTTGAAGCTCAATAGTTTTAACCACTTACTCTCCAGAGGATTTTGCCCCCTTCATGACCAGGCCATTTTTTGCTATTTGGCACTGAGCTACTTTAAAATGGCAATTACCATTATCATGGATGCCCACTCCTCCAGACTGACTGACCCAAATGGAATTTATATAATTTTTTCCCACAAATAGAGCTTTCTTTTGGTGGTATTTGATCACATTTTTTTATCCTTTGCGCTATAAATGAAAAAAAAAATTACTATAAAACATATCCAATAAAAAAATGTTAAACATTAAATTTCTTCATAAACGCAGGCCAAAATGTATTCTCCAACATGTCTTTAATAAAAGAAAAAAAATCCCAACAAGTGTATATTAACCACTTGACCTCCAGAAAATGTACCCCCCTTCATGATCAGGTCATTTTTTGCTATCCTGCACTGACCATTGCACAATCATGCAACACTGTACACAAATTAAATTTATATCATTTTTCTTCACACAGAGCTTTCTTTTGGTGGTATTTGATCACCACTGGGTTTTTTATTTTTTTGTTATATAAATGAAAAAAGACCAAAAATAAAACAAAATATATATTTTACTTTCTGCTATAAAACATATATTAAAAAAAATGTAGAAATTAAATTTATTCATGCATTTAGGCCAAAATGTATTCTGCTAAATGTCTTTAGTAAAATAAATCCCAATTAGTGTATATTAATTGGTTTGTGTGAAAGTTATAGCCTCTACCAACTATGGGCTGCATACTGAAATTTAGATCTGTTTATTTATTTTTTTAAATGGCAGCAATAAGTGACTTATAGCAGGACTGTGATAGTGCGGCGGGCAATCTGACAGTAATTGACATTTTGTGAGAACGGGCTAACTGACACTTACATCACTAATACAGTGATCAGTGCTAATAATATACACTGTCACTGTACTAATGACACTGGCTAAGAGGGGGTTATCATTTAGGGGCAATCAAAGATTTAACTGTGTGCCTAACAATGTATAATGTGGTTACTGTGTGGTGTTTTCACTAAGCATTGTGCCGGATTTTACTCTTTGCTTCGCAGGGAGGAAAAAACAGCACATTGCTGTTATCAGTAGAGAGCTGTGTTGTTTAACTCCTGAGTTGTGTGCAAACCTGGTGGCCAACTCCAGGAAACGTCTGACCTCTGTGATTGCCAACAAGGGATTTGCTACCAAGTACTAAGTCATGTTTTGTGAAGGGGATTATTTCCCTCATGAACATGCAAATCAGTGTATAATTTGTTAGACATGCATTTCTTTTGAATTTTTTGTTGCTATTCTGTCTCTCAGTGTTACAATACACCTACCATTCAATTTTCAGACTAATCATTTCTTTGTGAGTGGGCAAACATTCAAAATCAGCAGGGGATCAAATACTTATTTCCTTCATTGTATTTGTAGCTGCTTACTTTTAATGTTTGGGAGAGGGGGCTGGAACTCCACTTTAAGTGGATAGCATTCCTTCCTGATTACCATATTATGGGATTCATATGTTTATTTATATATAAAACTCCCACTTTTATAGTATATTATTTCTCCCCTTTCAATACATTAAATACGTGCAATCTGTATGTAAATATTTAAAAAAAAGTATAGATAAAAAAATACATTACATATAAAAAATGAAAATAAACTAAAATCCATGTATACATAAAAAGAGTCCTTTTAAGTATATATTTCAAATATTTAAAAATTTTACACATTATAAATAAAACACGGTGGAAATTGGTACA